GAGTATTTGTCCATAGGACCACTTTAAGCCGTACACTCCACAGAGCTGGGCTTTACGGAAGAGTGGCCAGAAAAAAGCCATTGCTTAAAGAACAAAATAAGCAAACACATTTGGTGTTCGCCAAAAGGCATGTGGGAGACTCTTCAAACATATGGAAGAAGGTACTCTGGTCAGATGAGACTAAAACTTAGCTTTTTGGCCATCAAGGAAAACGCTATGTCTGGCGCAATCCCAACACCTCTCATCACCCGAGAACACCATCCCCACAGTGAAGCATGGTGGTGGCAGCATCATGCTGTGGGGATGTTTTTCATCGGCAGGGACTGGGAAACTGGTCAAAATTTAAGGAATGATGGATGGCGCTAAATACAGGGAAATTCTTGAGGGAAACCTGTTTCAGTCTTCCAGAGATTTGAAACTGGGATGGAGGTTCACCTTCCAGCAGGACAATGACCCTAAGCATACTGCTAAAGCAACACTCGAGTTGTTTAAGGGGAAACATTTAAATTACTTGGAATGGCCTAGTCAAAGCCCAGACCTCAATCCAATTGAGAATCTGTGGTATGACTTAAAGATTGCTGTACACCAGCAAAACCCCTCCAATTTGAAGGAGCTGGAGCAGTTTTTCCTTGAAGAATGGGCAAGAATCCCAGTGGCTAGATGTGCCAAGCTTATAGAGACATACCCCAAGAGACTTGCAGCTGTAATTGCTGCAAAAGGTGTCTCTACAAAGTATTGACTTTGGGGGGGTGAATAGTTATGCACGTTCAAGTTTTCAGTTTTTTTGTTTTATTTCTTGTTTGTTTCACGACAAAATATATTTTGCATCTTCAAAGTGGTAGGCATGTTGTGTAAATCAAATTATACAAACCCCCCCAAAATCAATTTTAATTCCAGGTTGTAAGATAATGAAATAGGAAAAATGCCAAGGGGGGTGAATACTTTCGCAAGCCACTGTATAGTGGTTACACTAGAGTCAAGGCGGGAAGGGTTGTGTTTTATAGGGGTTACACTAGAGTGTTTAGGAATATGGACATGGCTGGGTCGTATCTGCTGATGTTCACCCTTTTTCTTCCAGCTCCTGTCCCCTCGCTGTCTCCCTCAAGCACTTTTTTGTCTCCTTCTCCCTCCCTCCCTCCTCTCTTCCTCCTTCCCTTCCTCCCTCCTCTTCTCGCTCCTATTTGATATGTAAAGTTAGAGTTGAGTGGTGTGGTTTGCTGTCCCGTTCTATCCTAATGCCATTAGCTGGTGGTCGTATACACAGCCAAGCAGGCCTAGCTAATTGAATCTCTTTCTTCTCTTATGTATGATCATCTAATGCATGCACCCTCCCTCTGATACGCCTTATTGGCATGTGTGTGCAGAATGGAACATTTATGATGTAGGTTATTTTTGCTTTAGTAAACTGTCACCTTGCATAACAAATCGTGTGGGTAATTTGAAAAATTACGTTTCACGTAAGATGTTCCGTATTCTGTACGGCGTATTCACAATTGGTGTCTTATTTTCCCTTTTGCGCTTACTCATTTACTCACTGTGTTCAATATTTCCTTTCTCTCACTTGTTCATCTTCACTCATTCATTCTCTCAGCCATTTAGTGCTTGGCACTGGAAGCGGTCGCATTCTGTATCCAAGGCAACCTAAATTAGTCTCAGCAGGTATGTGGGTATTATTGCTAGAGCCAAAGAGAGGGAAGGAGAGGGAGAAAGCGAAAAAAAGAAGGCTAAAGGATAGTCCAAGGGAGATAGGAGAGGAGAAGGAGATGGAGGACCAAAGAAACTAGGGAAAGAGGAAGAAATGGAAAAGAAAAGTGGAAAGAGAGTGAAAGCAAAGAAAGTTCCAGTAAGGACAGGAAGACAAATACAAAGAGAAGAGATAGAAGGTAAAGTAGGATAAGAGTAATGAAAGAAGTTAAAGCCTCGGGTTGAAGAGTGATGAGAAAGAGAGATGGTGAGGAAGGAAGGGTGGAAGGAAGGATGGGGTAAATGAGAAAGAGGAGAGGGATGGAGGGAAATGGCATGCAGGTTATTGCCTGCCGTAAAGAATTACGCTGGTAAGCGTTTTAATGTGTGTACTGTGTACCCCAGGAAAACCAGTGAGCCATAGCAGCACAGACGGAGCTAACCACATTACTGCTCAGAGACCAGACAAGAATACACCTGCTGCTGGTTGGAACACACACGCACACACTTTTATATATACATGTACAGTACCAGTCAAAAGTTTGGGCACACCTTCTCATTCCAAGGTTTTTCTTTATTTGTACTATTTTCTACATTGTAGAATAATAGTGAAGACATCAAAACTATGAAATAACACATATGGAATCATGTAGTAACCAAAAAGTGTTAAACAAATCAAAATATATTTTATATTTGAGATTCTTCAAATAGCCACCCTTTGCCTTGATGACAGTGTTGCACACTCTTGGCATTCTCTCAACCAGCTTCATGAGGTAGTCACCTGGAATGCATTTCAATTAACAGGTGTGCCTTCTTAAAAGTTAATTTGTGGAATTTATTTCTGTCTTAATGCGTTTGAGCCAATCAGTTGTGTTGTGACAAGGTGGGGGGGGGGGGGGGGGGTATACAGAAGATAGCCCTATTTGGTAAAATACCGAGTCCATATTATGGCAAGAACAGCTAAAATAAGCAAAGAGAAACAACAGTCCATCATTACTTTAAGACATGAAGGTCAGTCAATCTGGAAAATGTCAAGAACTTTGAAAGTTTCTTCAAGTGCAATCACAAAAACCATCAAGCACTATGATGAAACTGGCTCTCATGAGGACCGCCACAGGAATGGAAGACCCAGAGTTACCGCTGCTGCAGAGTATAAATTCATTAGATTTACCAGCCTCAGAAAAATAAATGCTTCACAGAGTTCAAGTGACAGAAACATCTCAACATCAACTGTTCAGAGGGCACTGTGTGAATCAGGCCTTCATGGTCGAATTGCTGTAACGAAACCACTACTAAAGGACACCAATAAGAAGAAGAGACCTGCTTGGGCCAAGAAACACGAGCAATGGACATTAGACCGAAGGAAATTTGTCGTTTGGTCTGGAGTCCAAATTTGAGATTTTTGGTTCCAACCGCCGTGTCTTTGTGAGACACGGTGTGGGTGAACAGATTATTTCTGCATGTGTAGTTCCCACCTTAAAGCATGGAGGAGGAGGTGTTATGGTGTGGGAGTGCTTTTGCTGGTGACACTGTCTGTGATTTATTTAGAATTCAAGGCACACTTAACCAGCATGGCTACCACAGCATTCTGCAGCGATACGCCATCCCATCTGGTTTGGGCTTAGAGGGACTATCATTTGTTTTTCAACAGGACAATGACCCAACACACCTCCAGGCTGTGTAAGGGCTATTTGACCAAGAAGGAGAGTGATGCATCAGATGACCTGGCCTCCACAATCCCCCGACCTCAACCCAATTGAGATGGTTTGGGATGAGTCGGACCGCAGAGTGAAGGAAAAGCAGCCAACAACTGCTCAGCATATGTGGGAACTACTTCAACACTGTTGGAAAAGCATTCCAGGTGAAGATGGTTGAGAGAATGCCAAGAGTGTGCAAAGCTGTCATCAATGCAAAGGGTGGCTACTTTGAAGAATCACAAATATGATATTTTGATTTAACACTTTTTTTGGTTACTACATGATTCCATATGTGTTATTTCATAGTTTTGATGTCTTCACTATTATTCTACAATGTAGAAAATAGTAAAAATAAAGAAAACCCTTGAATGAGTAGGTGTGTCCAAACTTTTGACTGGTACTGTCACACACACACACAGACAGCAGCAGGTAGCCTAGCAGTTAAGAGCGTTGGGCCGGTAACCGAACGGTCGCTGGTCGAATCACCGAGCTGACTATATGAAAAATCTTTCGATGTGCCCTTGAGCAGGGCACTTAACCCTAACTTCTCCTGTAAGTTGCTCTGGATAAGAGCGTCTGCTAAATGACAAAAAAGTTACATGTAAATAGCAACAAACAAACACATCTCGCAAAACACTATCTCACACATGCTGACTAGAGAGCAGACGGGGCTCTTTGAACACAGCTGGGCCGTGGGCGAGATGATGTAACGCACTGAGACAGACAGTGATGGTGTTGATTGGAGAGTGTGTGTGTAGCCTAGTGTGCTAAAAACACGCATGTTGCTCTGTCGCCATCCTGCGCCAGTACAATCTATTCCCCTTTACAATAGTACACACAGGCCATACTATACAGAATGGAGGAAAGTGGAGAGACAAATGGGGAGAGCAATAATACTTTAGATGAGAAGGAAAAGGAAGAGAGGAAGAGGGGGATACAGAAAGAAGATATATTTGATACTTTTTGGATTATTCTCCCTTTCCTCTGACATAATCTTGTAGTGTGGTAAAGTAGCATTAGTTTGGTTTAGTACATAGATGAGAGAAGACTGAATAAGATGACAGGGGAGCAGAGCAGAGCAGGCCTAATGTTAGGACAGTGTTGTTTAGAACATTGGTGAGAAGAGAGAAGACTGAATAAGATGACAGGGGAGCAGAGCAGGACTAGTGTTAGGACAGTGTGGATTGTCTGATGTGACACAGTCATTAAAGTTGAGGACTAGAGGGGCCCCTGCTGCTAGACGTCTTCACTCTGAGGAGAAATAAGGACAGGAGAGAGGGGAGGAAAATGGGGGAGGAACTGGTAGAGGAGGCAGTATAGTATGTGTGTGTAAGGGGGGGGGGTAGAAAGAGGAGAGGATGGGAGAAAGTGCAAAAGTTGACATCGACAAATGGGCAGTTGTGGGTGTAGGGGGTTACAATGTATGATGGGTATGTGTGGTCCTGACTCCAAGGTGGGTAATGTAGTTTTAACTATGCTAAACTTATCTCCTCCGTCTGTAAGATCTGTTGGTTTGTTTGTATTGTAGTTCTGACTGACTTGACTGACTAGTGCTGTAGTAGTAACAGTGTTGTTGGTGTTGTCTAACAGTGTGCACCTGTATCGCTCTTCCTTCCAGTCTGTACGGTGCGCTGTCAGAAGTTCCTCATCTCTCGTGTTGGTGAAGACTGGATCTTCCTCATCCTCCTGGGTCTACTCATGGCTCTGGTCAGCTGGGTGGTCGACTTCGCTATCGCCATCTGTCTACAAGGTAAAGGAGGAGGGAGTTGGAAGGGAGGGAAGGTGAGGTAGACTTGGTCTAATGATGGCTCTGGTCAGCTGTACACTCTGTTCCTTTGGCTGAATCATTTCATCTGACGCCTCTCCTGCATGCAGCTAAATAAGACATTAAACCACTCCAGATCATTTCAGACACTGTGGCTTACGCACGCACACCCCTCAAACCAGGGTGTGTGTGTTCATGATGAGCTGCAGTGCAGATTAATGTCTCCCTGAGCTGCAGGTGTGTGTTTGTGTGTACGATTAGCTTAAATCTGGTTTAATGTCATCTTTGCAGCATGACACTGTGTTTGTGTGTGTAGCATGTATGCTGTGTGTTCAGAAGGTGTGTGGGTGTCAATGTGCTTTATCTTCAGTCAAACACACATTTACACACATTGCTGCGGTGTGTCAGGTGGCAGACTGATGCATGTGGAGAAAGTGAAGCGGGGAGAAGAGTGAGTCATTTAGAAGCAAGACGCTCATCCCCCCTTTCTACACACACGCGCACACATACACACGCACGCACACACACATACGCACACATACACACGCACATATACACACACTTTTGATCTCTCCCTGTAAACTTTTGGGAGAGTCCTGCGGGTTCTACTGTTGTCAGATATTTGGTCACTGTACTAATGAGTAGGGCTGGGATTTGCCAGGGACATAACGATATGATATTATCACGATACTTAGGTGCCGATACGATATGTATTGCGATTCTCATGATTTCTATATGTTTTCACGATTTATATATTGGATGTACTTTTACTTTATGATTGACATCAAGTTGATATTGGTCTGTGTGCGTGTCCACAGCACAGAAGTGGATGTATGGAGGCCTGGAGAGTAATGTGTTTCTCCAGTACCTGGCCTGGGTCACCTACCCTGTGGTGCTTATAACCTTCTCAGCTGGCTTCACACAGATACTGGCCCCACAGGCCGTAGGTAAGACACACACACACACATTCTGACACAACCATACACAGATACACCCTCCACATACACACACACATACTGACTGCACCATAGCACAATAACCCCCTCTCCCCCGTCTAGGTTCAGGTATCCCAGAGATGAAGACCATTCTGAGGGGTGTAGTGCTGAAAGAATACCTCACCTTTAAAACGTTTGTGGCCAAGGTTATCGGCCTCACCTGTGCCCTGGGCAGTGGCATGCCTCTGGGAAAGGAGGTAACACACACACACACACACACACACACAGTACACAGTCCTTTGACGCATACACACACATACACTGTTCTCACAGTCAGGCTTGTGTGAGTGTGTGTGTGTGTAGCTGTCACTTGTTTCTGCCAGTATAGTACAGTCTGTTCCAGGAGTTATGCAGACACACACTCCATTTGACAGCCAGCAGATGCAATCTGGCTTGAAGACTAAAATCAATCAATATATAGCTGTGATTCACAAGACAAGGGGTTCTCAAAGTGAAACACACACACAGAGACTGGTGCTGGCGTGGGGTTGTGGTTACACGTGTCATGTGACCCTGTCATACAGCAGAGAGAGAGAGAGAGATTTTCTTTTTAAATAATAGATGGGTGGTTTTGGCCTGAGCTAGCTGTGCAGATGTTTGTGTCCTGTGGACTAGTTGTATTGGGGAGAAGTGTTGCTTCTGAACACCAGTAGTAGGTTAGTCTGCGGGGGTGTCACTTTCAGATACGTTTCCGTTTTAAACCTCTGGACTTGACTCGTTTTTCTATTCGGAAGTGAGTAATACTGAAGTTGTGAATGATTTCCTAAAATACATTTCAAGTAATTCTCTCTCCCTCTCTAGGGTCCATTTGTTCACATTGCCAGTCTGTGTGCTGCACTCCTCAGCAAATTCATGTCACTGTTTGGTGGAATCTACGAGGTAAACCACACCTGGACACACATATACACACATACACACACGTTACCACATTGTTATCAATATGGTCTTTCAGAAAGGAAACACCATGCAAAAATATGTTTAACCATTTATGAAGAAATTAATAATGCAAGTCTTGGCGATATAGGCTCTGCTCCTTCAGGGTAGCTCACTGCCCAAGCAAAGCGTCAACAAAAATATAAACGCAACATGTAAAGTGTTGGTCCAATGTTTCATGAGCTGAAATAAAACATCCCAGAAATGTTCCATACGCACAAAAAGCTTATTTCTCTCAAATTTGGTGCACAAATGTGTTTACATCCCTGTTAGTACGAACAAAATTCAAATGTACAGTGAGGAAAAAAAGTATTTAGTCAGCCACCAATTGTGCAAGTTCTCCCACTTAAAAAGATGAGAGAGGCCTGTAATTTTCATCATAGGTACACGTCAACTATGACAGACAAAATGAGAAAAACAAATCCAGAAAATCACATTGTAGGATTTTTAATGAATTTATTTGCAAATTATGGTGGAAAATAAGTATTTGGTCAATAACAAAAGTTTCTCAATACTTTGTTATATACCCTTTGTTGGCAATGACACAGTTCAAACGTTTTCTGTAAGTCTTCACAAGGTTTTCACACACTGTTGCTGGTATTTTGGCCCATTCCTCCATGCAGATCTCCTCTAGAGCAGTGATGTTTTGGGGCTGTCGCTGGGCAACACGGACTTTCAACTCCCTCCAAAGATTTTCTATGGGGTTGAGATCTGGAGACTGGCTAGGCCACTCCAGGTCCTTGAAATGCTTCTTACGAAGCCACTCCTTCGTTGCCCGGGCGGTGTGTTTGGGATCATTGTCATGCTGAAAGACCCAGCCACGTTTCATCTTCAATGCCCTTGCTGATGGAAGGAGGTTTTCACTCAAAATCTCACGATACATGGCCCCATTCGTTCTTTCCTTTACACGGATCAGTCGTCCTGGTCCCTTTGCAGAAAAACAGCCCCAAAGCATGATGTTTCCACCCCCATGCTTCACAGTAGGTATGGTGTTCTTTGGATGCAACTCAGCATTCTTTGTCCTCCAAACACAACGAGTTGAGTTTTTACCAAAAAGTTATATTTTGGTTTCATCTGACCATATGACATTCTCCCAATCCTCTTCTGGATCCTCCAAATGCACTCTAGCAAACTTCAGACGGGCCTGGACATGTACTGGCTTAAGCAGGGGGACACGTCTGGCACTGTAGGATTTGAGTCCCTGGCGGCGTAGTGTGTTACTGATGGTAGGCTTTGTTACTTTGGTCCCAGCTCTCTGCAGGTCATTCACTAGGTCCCCCCGTGTGGTTCTGGGATTTTTGCTCACCGTTCTTGTGATCATTTTGACCCCACGGGGTGAGATCTTGCGTGGAGCCCCAGATCGAGGGAGATTATCAGTGGTCTTGTATGTCTTCCATTTCCTAATAATTGCTCCCACAGTTGATTTCTTCAAACCAAGCTGCTTACCTATTGCAGATTCAGTCTTCCCAGCCTGGTGCAGGTCTACAATTTTGTTTCTGGTGTCCTTTGACAGCTCTTTGGTCTTGGCCATAGTGGAGTTTGGAGTGTGACTGTTTGAGGTTGTGGACAGGTGTCTTTTATACTGATAACAAGTTCAAACAGGTGCCATTAATACAGGTAACGAGTGGAGGACAGAGGAGCCTCTTAAAGAAGTTGTTACAGGTCTGTGAGAGCCAGAAATCTTGCTTGTTTGTAGGTGACCAAATACTTATTTTCCACCATAATTTGCAAATAAATTCATAAAAAATCCTACAATGTGATTTTCTGGATTTTTTTTTCTCAATTTGTCTGTCATAGTTGACGTGTACCTATGATGACAATTACAGGCCTCTCTCGTCTTTTTAAGTGGGAGAACTTGCACAATTGGTGGCTGACTAAATACTTTTTTTCCCCACTGTATGTACTCACTACTGTAAGCCGCTCTGGAGAAGAGCGTCTGCTAAATGACTAAAATGTAAAAACAAAAAAATGTGTTAGTGAGCATTTCTCCTTTGCCAAAATAATCCATCCACCTGACAGAAGTGGCATATCAAGAAGCTGATTAAACAGTTTAATCATTACACAGCTGCACCTTGTGCTGGGGACAATAAAAGGCCACAAAAATGTGCAGTTTTGTCACACAACACAATGCCACAGATGTCTCAAAGTTTTGAGGGAGCATGCAATTGGCATGATGAATGCAGGAATGTCCACCAGAGCCGTTGCCAGAGAATTTAATGTTCATTTCTCTACCATAAGCTGCCTCAACGTCGTTTTAGAGAATTTGGCAGTACGTCCTTACAACATCAGACCACGTGTATGGCGTCGTGTGGGCGAGCGGTTTTCTGATGTCAACATTGTGAACAGAGTGCCCCATGGTGGCGGTGGGGTTGTGGTATGGGCAGGCATAAGCTACGGACAACAAACACAATTGCATTTTATCGAAGGCAATTTGAATGCACAGAGATACAGTGATGACATCCTGAGGCCCATTGTCGTGCCATTCATCCGCCGCCATCACCTCATGTTTCAGCATGATAATGCATGCACCCATGCCACAAGGATCTGTACACAATTCCTGGAAGTTGAAAATGTCCCAGTTCTTTCATGGCCTGCATACTCACCAGACATGTCACCCATTGAGCATGTTTGGGATGCTCTGGATTGACGTGTACGACAGCGTGTTCCAGTTCCCGCCAATATCCAGTAACTTCACACAGCCATTGAAGAGGAGTTAAACAACATTCCACAGGCCACAATCAACAGCGTGATCAACTCTGTGCGAAGGAGATGTGTCAGACTGACTCCATCCGAGTAGCACAAGATATTACGCTGCTCGACTGCTGGACAGCGCACATAGCAGTCCACAGTAATTTGGTCCAGCACGATGGGTGATAGATATGAGTCACGCACCGCTACAGTAATGACTGTAGCAGAGTGACTTGCATCAGGGTATAAGATGCCTCCATACACACAATGTACAAGCATGCATGATAACTTGCTTAACAGGCTACTACTATCCTAAAAATAGTACACTCCATAGATATGCCTAACCTGGTGCTTCATGAGCACTACAGCGAGAATGAAGATAACAGACCTATTTAATAGACAACTGAAATAATGCATGTTTATCCTGTAAGGGGGCAATCTGGGATAAACCAGACGACAAAATTGATTGCACCAGCCAATGGATAAATCACAATAATACACAAAAACCACACAAAACATAAACTGTAAAAGCAGCACGCAGTTAATGAACATATAGTTCATGTAAAAGCCTCATAGCATGGGTTAAAGATCTGTGGAACTGGATAAAAATGAATTAGTCTGCCATCGTACTGCGACGCTGCAAGCAGATGCTGTGGAAGGGGTGGCTAGTGTTGCCTCTATAGCACCATGACCTCGTGTGCTCTTGCCAATAGCAATAGTAACAACCATGCCAACGATTATGTGCAGATAATACAGGACTTAACACGACATTGTTAGCACGACTTTCACACTGCAAGGTGATGGAAGCAGAGCCTAATCATGCACATACTCCCTCGAATGCAATATCGGGGCAGCCATGCCATAATGCAACACTGTGTGCAGATAATGAAGCAAGAATATTAGAGTTTGCGAGCATCACCACAGCATTAAGAGTTGCAGCATAACACATGATAGAACCAGTATGTGAGACATGATAACAAATTGAAACAGAAGCTGAATTAATAACAGGAGCTAAAACATGATACTAGAATGAAGCGATCACTACAATTAGCATACAATACAATAGCATATGGTAGAATTGTTATCACTAAAAACGACTAGACTACGAGATGGACCGACAGGGAGGGACAATCTACAGTCGTGGTCAAAAGTTTTGAGAATGACACAAGTATTGGTCTTCACAAAGTTTATTGCTTCAGTGTTTTTAGATATTTTTGTCAGATGTTACTATGGTATACTGAAGTATAATTACAAGCATTCCATAAGTGTCAAAGGCTTTTATTAATACATTAAGTTTTGCAGTGTTGACCCTTCTTTTTCAAGACCTCTGCAATCCGCCCTGGCATGCTGTCAATTAACTTCTGGGCCACATCCTGACTGATGGCAGCCCATTCTTGCATAATCAATGCTTGGAGTTTGTCAGAATTTGTGGGTTTTTGGTTGTCCACCAGCCTCTTGAGGATCGATCACAAGTTCTCAATGGGATTAAGGTCTGGGGAGTTTCCTGGCCATGGACCCAAAATGTTGATGTTTTGTTCCCCGAGCCACTTAGTTATCACTTTTGCCTTATGGCAAGGTGCTCCATCATGCTGGAAAGGCATTGGTCGTCAGCAAACTGTTCTTGGATGGTTGGGAGAAGTTGCTCTCGGAGGATGTGTTGGTACCATTCTTTATTCATGGCTGTGTTCTCAGGCAAAATTGTGAGTGAGCCCACTCCCTTGGCTGAGAAGCAACCCCACACATGAATGGT